TATAAAATGAGGAAAACCATGAAGATTACAGGCTGTAGCTCTTGAACATAAGTCAATTCCAACAAAAGAAATTCCTTCACTACGGTGTTGTTCTCCATTGCTTGGAAGAGAAAAGATAAGAGAGGCAATTAATGTTAGTCAGATAGGCATTTTGTGACAAATACCTCACAAAACAACCTATTGATAGTTGCATTTATTTGGCTCACTGTCTCAGAGATTTCTATCATTGTGACTGAGCAGAGTATCTCATATGAAGGCAACCAGGAAACTGCACAGTGCTTACAGTGGTTGGCTCTCTCCTTTTATTCTATCTGGATCCTCAGGCTAAGGGAGAGTCTGTCCAATATTTGGAGCAAGTCTTTCTCTTGATGCCAACTTCTCTGTAAATACCTCTCACAGATATATCAAAATGTAGACGTCACTATTCTCCTATGTATTACTTAGTCTAATCTAGTGTACAGTCAAGATTAATCATCACATATATACCTGAGGAATCAAAGTCAGTTTACAATTGAAATATCTGCCCACCTGAATTTATTGTTGTACTATTCACAATGTCCAGGTTATGAGTATCAGCCTAGATGCCCTTCAACACATGAGTGGATAAAGAAAATATGGGTTCATACACAATGGAATATTATTCAACGTACAATGAAATTGTGTCATACGAAGGGAAATAGAAGGAACTAGAGATTTTCATGTTAAAACAAAAATAAGTTCAACTCTGAAAGACAAATATGTTTTCTATCATATTTGAGTCTAGATAATTTAGCACAAAAAATTGAAGGAAGATTATTTTGGGTTAGGTTGGAACAAAGGGAGTATGGTAATAAGCAATAGTGATAGGTGGTGGATATGATCAAAATATATAATATTCAGGTATTAAAACATCACATTAAAACCTATTGTTTACCTATGACAATAAGTAAATATATTGCAATATACATTTTAATTTCTATTGAATGGTCTTTGGTAAGCAGTTTTATTAGGAACACCAGAATTAAATTTTCAGCATACTTAACTGAGATGATAATCATTTCTTAGCCAGTGTAATACTGATACTTAAAAATAAAAAGGACAATCAGAATGCTAACTTCAATCTAAAAGGTTGACCATTTAGATTAAATGGTGGTATTTATGGGGAAAAGGTTAAGAACTGGGAACATTATTATATTCTAGCCTCATCTATGGAGTTACGACTGATAGATTTAGTAAAAGTCTGACAAAGGTAAAATCATAAAATTTGAAGTCATTCTTAAATGGAAGTAACAAGCACACGTTCTCTTTGGTTGATGATGGTAAGCATGAGGCAACAGCTTTAATCCAAACCTACTCATTTCTCTTTAAAAACAGAGCTTAAGCTAAGCACCAGTATGTTATATCTGCAATCCTAGCTACTCCAGAGACTTAGCTCTGAGGATTAGAATTTGAAGCCAAACTAAGCAAGAAAGTCTGTGAGACTCTGATCTCCAAAAGCTCCAAAAAAGAAAGAGTGAACCTGTAGCTTAAATGACACAGTGCTACCCTTGAGCACAAAAGATCAGGGACAGCATGCAGGCCCTGAGTTCAAACCCCAGAATGGGTACAAACAAAGAAAAATAATAGAATGAAGAACAGTGATAACCATTGATTGAAAAGTGGGGATGAAGGTGGTTACAGGAAGATTGGATTTGTTCAGTACACATTATTTTTATGTGTGAAGTATCATATTCAACCCCATTTTATGCACAACTAATATAATCAAAACATTTTATTGGGGAAAGCAAGTCCCCTATAACCTCAATCTTTATTGAATCTATATTTCTCAAATTTCAAATAATATGTAGGCAGAAGGAATACAAATCAGCAGAATAGGGCTGAAGACTCACAAGACAATACCACACAGGCCAGCGTACTCATACAAATGGAAGAAACCACATACATAGAACTATTAGCAGCAAGAGAATTTTGGACACACAACAAAATAATCAGTCCACTCCATCACTGAGTGTCTCAAGGTAAGTGTAATTCCTTAAGAATATTAGAAAAGATTGAGGCATTGCATGGGCTCTGATGGAGAAAATTGTGTTATTTAATGAGATAAAAGGCATAACAACAAAATGAGTCAAGACCTTGGACTTTTCCCATCTGTCCATATGAACCTTCTAGTAAATCAAGCTCCAATGATCCAACCTATTCAAACTTAAACAAGAAACATGAAAATATATAAAGAAAAATAATCTAAAACTCATTATTTCTCAGTGGAATGGGCACCTAAAAAAAAGATTCACAGTGAAACACGGGAAAATTATTCTATATTAACACAATATTCCAATCAGAAGAGAAACCCTTAATGGTCTATGAATTATACAAAAAAACAGCAAATTCAAATGCAATTAAATGTTATTTTGACACAAATGTTGGCCAAATGGATGGGTGATACACACTGAGGCTGATATAAATTGATTTATTCTCTGAGTAATAATTTGGCAATGATTATCCAACATGAAATGCTCACAGACTTAGAAC